CTTCTTCTCCCTCTACTCGGCATCCACCGCGGCTCGCACCCGCTGCCGGGGCGCGCTTGGAGAGTGCGGCGCCCGCTGATGCGCCGATGCGCGGGCGCCGGAAGTCGCCGAGCCGCGCGCGGTACACGTCCCCGGACACGTCGGCAGCGGCGCCAACGACTCTCGACAGCCCGCTGGAGAACGCGATGAGGACGCGCGTTCTCGTGTAAACGACTGTTCCGATCACGTTAATCACGTCCGATCCGTCTTCGGCAACGAATCCACCGCCCCCGCAGAGAGAGAGAGAGAGAGAGAGTATTCTCGTGGAGACTTCTATCCTTCTGTGCGATCATCAAGTGCGAGATTGTAAACGTTCCACGATGGCGCGTCATCTGAAAGTGATGACAAAATCCTCGAGGGATTCTCCGCATTGACACGGGCTGGAAGTGCAACTATCACTCGTCGGGACTTCCGGTTGAACTCGACGAGGAGAATAACACTAGAGAAGTTCTTCAGAAGTCTCCCGAAGAATTGAAACCAATTCCCAAAAATTGCGAAAGAAGGATTCTCGCAGGACGTCATTGGGCTTCGACGACGAATCTTCGCATTATGATGCGGACCGGAAATTAAGCCGCGCTGCAACGCGCTGATCGCTTCTTCAGGAACTCGCGCCGAATTTGCGGTCGCACGTGTGAGCTTCTCGACGAGAAGCGGTCGCTACGTGCCGGCGCGTCTCGACGATGGCAACATCGTCACTGGGTACCTGGAGCCTCTTCTCCCCTCGCGTCAACGATCAGGCTGATTTCCGCCGTGGAATAACTTCCGGAGAATCAAATATAGGTCGATCGGCGAACGACTGACTTCAGCTTACCGATATAAAAGCTACGCGAGGGGAGACTTTACTAGATAGATCGCGTGAAAGAAGATATATCCGAAAAGGGGGCAGAGATCAGATAAGGTGTCAGAGTTTATTCGAGAGTATATTCGAGAAGTGGTCAGTTAAAGATTGAAATAATATATTTAAGATGCAGTTGAAGGTTAGATAAGGAGCGGCTGAGGGAGTGTACGATGGTTTACAGCGCATTTTTCCGCGAGAGAGGAGAAAATCGATGCTTTGAGAGGATACCTATAGCGATGTGTGGGAAAGGAGGGAAATCAGCTGGAGAGGAGCGAGGATCAACATTCAGAGAGAATATCTATATGTATACCTAAGTACAGAGCGAGAGAGTATTTTTCTATGGATAGTTCGTTTCTATTATATAAAGATAAAGAAGGGAGAAAGAGAGAGAGAGAGAGAGAGAGAGAGAGAGAGAGAGAGAGAGATAGAAAATATTCTATATATATTATCAATCATCCCCCAACGTGAAGGCGAGAGTTGGAGTGGCGTCGTCCACGATCGTCCGGCCGTCGAGGACGACGATACTTCCTGCTGCACCCTTCTTACTTAAGGGAGGACTCTCGAGGAATTCATGTGGATTCTAGTGCAGGAATTCCTCTGCGTATAAGTACCTGCGAACACCCGCGGCGGATCTTTTGCCGCGTTCTTCGTGCGTCATCGCCCATCCTTTGAATTCTCGAGATAGTTAGATTAGACCGCACGTAGTCACAAAGTTAACGTTAGGGAGTCTCTCTCTAAGTCGTGATTGATTTTAACAGTGCAAAAGACGTTTGCCTTAAAACAGAAGACTTTATTGAAAAATTCGAGGAAATTTCGAAAATTCTTTGAATATATAAATTCATCGTAAAAACTCGACGAATTCGAGTAGACCCGATGAACCCAATTAACGACAGCTGTTTCGCTGTCGTTCCAACTTCCGGAATGTATACCGGTTGTTTACATTTTATTCGTCGTGCACATTTGTGATCGGCGCGCCGATTGAGTATTGGATTCTGCGAGCTATAATTCCGGTGAGCAGCTGGCGCGTATACAATATTTAATTGCGAAAGAGAACTTTAACGAGGACATCGACTTGAACTTCGAGGTTCATTAAGATCGTGGGAATACAAAGCGATTCTCGAGGCGACACCATCGAGCTTACGCACCGCGACAATCGATCGTACGAGAATATCTCATCGAGTCCCCCACGTGGATGTTTTCTTCTGCCGTCCGCGAGACAATAATGACACCGTCGGAGGAGGAACGAGACGCCGTGACCGGCGACGATCGGAAACCTGAGGATTCCGTCCGACGGTCATCCCTCTTCTAGGCACCACCGCGGGTTCCTTCCGCGTCTCTTCCTCGTTTATTCACCGCCGACTGCGAACGACGAATGATGGTAGAGCCGAGATGGTCAATCAAGTGTACGAATAGCACCCTGGACTTGCTGGACCCGAGCGACGATTACACAGATCTGAAGACGCAGCATCGACGACGTTGTTGGAAATACTTTTGCTGGTGCCGCAGGCATACGATCAGCGTGATATGCATTAACGAGTCGCGCAAGCTGTACTGGTTCAACTGCCGGAACGTGCAGGAGAAGGTGACGTACGGCTCGGGCGAAGGGTACTACCACAAGTTACTGCGGCTGGTGAACGGCGCGCTCAACACCTGGGCGCAACGCTACATCGACGGCCTGAGCGTGGCACGTCGCGAGATTATGTTGAGGATCAACGGCAGCGCGGAGAACAACATGAAGCTGTTAAAGGAGGGCTGTTACTGCCACTATCATCCGCACATGACGGCGGACGCGTGCAACGCCGACTTTCTCAGAAGAGTCGTAAGTTTCTGGGCCGACGAGAGCCTCAGGGGGATACGCGAGAGGCTCCGCGGCATGATGAATATTACGAAAAAGGTAGAGGACACGAATCGCGAATCTCTTTATATCTCTTCTGGAAGGAATGTTTCTCGATATTGTATATGTCCCCAGATATATACGTATATTAATATATATATATATATTATATATATATAGATATTTTTCCCGGTATTGCGACGATCGCACCAGGATATCGCTCGTATTATTGGCATGTGCTTCGGCCAGAGAAGCGAGAGTAGAAAAAGGACACCAATCAAATCCGTGCCTCCAACTACGCCGTTTCCGTTGGACTTTCGTTCGTCGACCCCCTGACTACTCGCACTCATTCTCGCACTCGATATTGCATCTCATTTTCATCTCGCCATCACAATAATTATATATGTATAAACTCGAAAAAAATTATTACGTTACTTCAAAAGCGTTACATTCGCGGTGGGAATTAATAAAGAATTTTGAACGCGATAAATGAGCGAAAATAACGAGGGGATGGACAGCGAAAGCAGTGGAATTATTATTAGCACTTTGCATTTGCGACGCGGCTGTCTTTTTGTTGTAACGCGAGTAACGTAGAGTATTTGGCATGTAACGCCTACGATAGTTCGTGAAAATGATATTCTTGTGCAATTAAAAGGGCTTGTAAGCGAGCCTCGCTAAAGTTGCATCGATACTAGTTGCCACCTTCGAGTAGCATGCGCTGAATAAAGCTATGAGAACTCTTTGCATCTCTACTGCAAATTGTTGGTAATGCGAATGTCATCCTTCTTCATTTGATATCCCTTTATTTATAGTAATAGCCTGACATAATTATAATAATATTGATTAATAATTGGTTACCTATATTTATCCGTATTTAATTTAAAAAGATTTAACACGGTTATATACAGGGTGTCCGATAATTGTTCTGACGGAGTTTGTGGGCATGTAGAGCGGACTAAACTGAGACGAAAAGTCTTTTACCATTTCGCAATAGTTAACAAGATATTAATTGCTAAAAATTACCGAAAATTAGTGAAATTTATTTATTTTCTTCTCATAGAACACTCTACGAATTTTTTCAGAATTTTTTATCAACTTTTTAGTACTGCATTTTCTCATTTTTATCAACATGAGAAAATACGGTATTAAAAAATTCTGAAAAAATTCTTAAAAAAGTTTTAGAGCTCTATGAGAAGAAAATAAACAATTTTTGTCTCTTGCAGTTTTTCTGTAAAGTTGATAGTACTTGAGTAAAAAGATTATTAAAGACCAATTTTCGGCAATTTTTAGCAATTAATATCTTGTTAACTATTGCGAAAATTACAAAATGATAGACTTTTCGTCTCAGTTTAGTCCGCTCTACATGTCCACGAACTCCGTCAGAACAATTATCGGACACCCTGTATAATAAAAATGCAATCAAATAACCGAAATGAAATAACAGTTGGACTACGAATTAAATTATTTATATAACAATTACAATAAACAATGAACAGATGTTTTGATTCGACTATTTTTGATGATATAAACAAATAACTTTAATCAAATAATTTTAATTATATAATTTCATTAAATTGCATTGTGTGATAAAAATATTTGAGAAAATACAACATTTTTTAATGAATCAATAAATTAAATTAAATTAAATTAAAATAAATATAATGTAAATAGTACTATATATACGTATATATAAAACACTGTCCCTATTTGGAATTCCTAATTGCACTTTTAGATAGAAGAACTCTCTATGAATTATGTATATATAAAGCATCCTGTCATTGTCAGTAATCTCTAGATCTTATCTCTACATATACCTAATCATAATCCTTTATCAATATCACCTTATTTCACAATCGCACAATACATTTTTTCTACGCACATTTTCTGTCTTTTATACATGACATATATTTCTTTTTCATACGTATATACGGACGATTCTGTTCCTTATAGAAATTTATTATTATTAGAAGATAGTGATTAATAATTATATTTATTTTGAGTATTAAAAATACTATTATTTATAGAAATGTTTTTGATATTCAAAATAGATAAGTAATTTTTAGTATTAAATTAGCAATATTAAATCAGATTTCTGTAAAGAATGTCAAAAATATAGCATTAAAATTTTATAAATTTATATCTTTTTGTAAAGTACAAATATAAAAAATTTTGAAAAGAACAAGAAATAATTGATTATAAATTTAACGTGGAGTCGTCTGTATTTGTCTCGATTTTCACAGTGATAAGTGCTCTTACCGCAGCTAGAGTAAAATCTGACGTATTTTCCAGATGTCGGACGATGATAGGATGTCTCTCACCACTGCCGTCAGCGATGATGACGACGGTGAGAGTGCTATAAATTCGCCCTATCGGAAACAGACCGGCACGGCTGCAGCTTCGTTCAATTGCACCGGTGCAGTTCGGAAGGCAGGGTACGTCTCTCATACTTTTTTCTTTTTTAAAAATAATGAGCCTTGAGAATCTGCATATAGATATCTCGCATAAGTTGACATAGATATATGAAGGCCACAAACGAAGATCAATCTAAGTCACAGTTTTTTGTTCAGTTTCTAGAATATCGGATTGTACTGAGATTATCGGATTTTTAATCGAATATTATGATAATGACAAATATTTATGCAAAAATTACCTCCTTTCGTTTGTTGTAAATTGATTCAAATTAGCATAAATATGAATATACATACGAATGAACGGTGAACATTTTTACATAATAAACATTTATCATTATGATATTATTCGATTAAAAATCCGGTAATCTCAAAATAAATTTAATTTAACGGGACAAGCGGAAATAATAGAAACAACAATAAATATAATATATTAAGTTGTTTTTTAATATAATATAATTTTAATAAATTTAAATATAAAGAAAATAAAAAAGATGACAATGCTTCGGAATTTCTAGATTTCTCAGCGTGAAGAAATGGTTGTTGCGCAAGAAGCATCAGATCGAGCTAGCTAAAAAGAGAGGCTGGGGGGGGGGTTGGGGAAGGCTGGAGGGGTTATTGGGTTTGCTTGAAGGGCACCACGCTCCTCTTCTATCCCTGCGATTCACAGGAGAGTAGGGCCATGGAGGCAGCACCTAAACACCTGATCATCGTCGACGGTGCGATCATGCAGCCGATTCCCGAACATCCAAAGAAAGATTACATATTTTGCCTGAGCACCGCATTTGGGGACGCCTATCTGTTCCAGGTAACAAAATTTTAACGCGACTTTGCCGTAATCTGTAAAAAGAAATATACAAATATAGTAAAAGAAATCCTATAACTCGCAGATATATATTGAAAAGATTCTTCCGTAATGAAATATTCTTTACTTTTTAAACTTTTAATAGTAGAGATCTAATTAAATCAAAATGTGAAAGATGAAAACTAGACTTATACATGACCAACCTAATTAGCGCAATTCGTACGTAACGTAATTTTGCTATTTTTATGTACGAACTTCTTAATCACCCTCCCGTCGAATATTATCGCAAATAGTACGCCAATTAAACTTGGAGTAAGACCGTCGTAGGGAGTACTATACACGGCAAATTATTGGAAAGTCAAAGGGAACAATTATGCCAGCTCAATTTGATCTTCGTACTTTAGTAGCCCTCGAGAGTGCATTAACCGCGCGAATTGTTAACTAGGTGTATTTAATTAACCCCGTCTCACGAACTCGTTCCCGGGTCACGCAACACGGCGAACTTTTAATAGTCCGCTGCCGCTACCTTAAAGCTTGCCACGACTTTAAATCACTTGGAAGCGTGAGCGACATCGCGAGCGACGATCGATCAGCTGGGCGAAGTTTGCCGAGGCCGAGGGGGAGGAATCGAAGGTCCGAATTCTGGTTCAGAGAAAAAACATGGTGTGTTCGTTTTGTGTTTAGGCGCCGTGTCAAGTGGAGCTGGAGAACTGGGTGAATAGTATTCACTCGGCGTGCGCCGCCGCGTTCGCGCGTCATCGCGGCAAAACCGGCACGCTGCACCTACTGCAGGAGGAGATTTTCCGTCTGGAAAAGGCGATCGAATCTGTACGTAGAAAAAGTTGACTGATGTGTAATTTTGTCAGGCTCAGCTTGTTCTATAGAAGCATCAAAAGTTTCGAGAAAAGTGATAAAAAGAAACTTATGCATGAAAGAAAAGAACTATTTATTGAACTTGGGAGAAAATCTTGCAATTTTTTATTATCAACTTATTATCAATTTATTAAAGAACATTTTACAAGAATCTTACAAGTTTATAAAACAGATTAAATATTTTTAATTATAATCATTCATGAAATATTTTCGATCATATTGCTTTTATTTTGAAACTTGATATAATTTTTAACAAAAGGAAAGGGGAGAGAGAAAAGTAGGTCAATAATTGTATTGATTGTAGGACCACAAGATGAAGCATATGGCGGATCTTCAGCAATCAGTGGTTTCCGATGTCGACACCAAGCAGCAGATCAACAATCAAATAGTACAGTGGGAGGAGAATCTGGAACGGCTCCACTGCGAGCAATTCCGCCTGCGGTGCTACATGGCCAGTTTGCAAAGTGGCGAACTACCCAATCCGAAGGTAAGCATGAACTTCATTGAAACGTCAGTTCCGAATGCAATATAGAATATTAACGCTTTTGTAGACCGGTACCAAAGGTACTGCATTATATCGTAACTCGTACTAGATACCCAGATAACATTTATGTTGCATAAGATACCTAAAAGACGTCTTTTAGATGTCTTATGTCTAAAAGATGTATAAAAGACGTCTTTTAGATATCTTATACAACATGCATGTTATCTGGGTACGGTTACTTTGACAGAGAAAAGTCTCACATTTTATATCTCTCATATTTACAAATCTCGTATTTTACATCTTTTATATTTACATTTCTAAAATATACACATACATGCTATGATTATTCAGTAATATTTTTTTGTTGTAATACAATAATATTTTCTTGCATATAATTGTATTTGAAAATGTTGCATTCATCAATATTCATAATAATAGAAAATACTTTAAATATTTATATTCCGTAAGAATATATATATGCTTCGTTATATTTCTCTCAAAATTTTGTGAATAAATTAATGAATTTACATGAAAATCAATATTTCATAAATATTCTTCATTCGCGACATATTTTTTATTTTCCCGATTTAAACATATTAGCTTGCACAGTCGCTTTTATGCAAGTATTCCTGTATCGCGGAAAAGAATTCAGAGAATTGTTGTCGAATTAATTCTCGCCCATATATACGGAAAGAACAAATGTATTTAAAATGTCTAAAAATTTAGTTAAATGCAGATCTGAAAATAATTTCATTGAACCATCAAAATATAAAATTATGTAGGAAAGTCACAAACTTGATAAGCAATGCGTTGTAAACAACTTTGACATTTTAGCAATTAGCTTGAACGTTCTACTTTTTATTATGCTTTGAGCGTCATACTTTGTAATTATTTTGATAGCAAACACAATTATTTTCAGATCTGTATTTAATTCCCAGCAAGAAATGATTGGTCGATTAACTTCGAATCAATGCGATTTAATCAATGTCGAATCGATGTCATTCAACCAATCATTTCTGGCTGGGTTAAATTTTTTAATACTTCAGCAAATCGTTCTTTCCACGCACATACGCGAGTTCTCGTCATTCGTTATCCAATGCGACGATGCGGAACGGACATATTACGCTCAATTCCAATCGCAATCGAACGGAACGCTGTGATCTGGCTGTAAACTTTTGCCGCTTTTGCACAAAAGCTGGTTCTCTCTCGACTTCTCTCTGGAAAACAATATTACGTGCTGCAATCTCTCTGCGCGGGTTGCTGCAATTGCTTGGGAAAAAAAAAAAATCATCTCTTTCGTTTCCCGCAGCGTGTACGCAATCAGGATTCGTTGAAGGTCCATCTGCGTCGCGCTCATCTAATTTGCACCATTCGTTATGAGTGATATCGATCGTCGAGGGGGAGAGAGAAAGAGGGAAAACCAGGTGGCCAGGCAATATCAGATAAATTAACGTTTTCACGATCGTAGCAATCAAGCGATTTTACTGACAGTGATAATTCATAATCAGTAACTGAAAATAGTGTTGGAATGGGCAATATTTCACGGAAGGGCAGTTCATTCTTTTTATGACTTTTTTTAAAGGAGATAAATTTCCGAATGTGATAACTAGCACTTTTGGATCTCTTTACGTTATCTGAGAAGTCTCTTAAACCTGTAATGTCATTTTTTTATGATTCTTCTTTCGGGAAAGTACATTTCTCCAAATAACCGTTCTGTGTTATCTATGAGAAGTCTCTTAAGACGTTCCGTGCCGGGCCAATTAAGTGACTTGATCACAACGCTGCGTTGGTTACCCACAGTATTTTTGTTTGCATTTGTTAAATAACATTTATTTCATAATGATTAAAAAAATTAAAAAAATTATTATAAAGAAGAAGGCCTAATGTATCATTATTGTATTATATATCATAACTATGTATTCACGTATGATATAAAAAATATTTTATAATTACGTTTCTTTTTACAATCAAAATATCAAATGGCCTAAATGGAAAGTTCAGTGCGAGTTATCAGTGATTCGCGCGGAATGGAATGTGTTAAATCTATAAAATTTCAAAAATTTTTTTTCTTTTCGAAGACGATAAGTTATTATGATAAGTGAGTAGCTTGATCCAAGACTAAATAAGCGATGTTCATGTTTTTCCCTCAGAGTCTACTGACGCACGTGTCTCGCGCCACAAAGCAAACGCTAAACAAGCTAGGCGTGTTCACGGTGTCGTCCTTCCACGCGTTTATCTGCGCGCGTAGCCCGTCCCTGCTGAATAATTTATTGGCTGGGGGGGGGGGGGGGAGTCAAGATCGAATAGCGGCTCCAGTAGGCGCTCGCTGCAGATCTCGTCCAGGGACGAGGAGAAGAGCGTGAAGGTGTCCGTGCCGGAAAATCAGGTACGATCGTCAGGACACCGGGTGAGTTGATCGACATTCTATGCTTCCGTTACGCTTAGAGTATAATAAGGATAAGGCGAGCGCGACCCGGTGTTTCCTGTTTGTTGTTTCAGCTGGTCTCGGTGTTCCTACGTGACGCTATGACCGTGGAGGAGTTCCTAGCGAGCGCGTGCACCAGAAAGAATCTCAATCCGATGGAGCACTTCGTGCGCGTCAAAAAGCGCCGGGATATGGAGGACCATAATTACTTTGTGCCACATAGAACTGATTTGATAGAAACCTATGTAAGTTTGACGGGTCGAAATTGGTGAATTTAAACGTGCTGAGTTTGAGGAAACAATTATGGAAGATTTAAAGTAAAATATGCATTACAAATAAAAATAATTAAAAATATCACAATTACCTTGGATATAAATGAACAAAATTCTAAAAGTTCTTAAGAACGCATTTTAATACAATTTAATATACAAATAAAAAAGTTAGAAACTTCTTCGGAATATAAAAAAATTATTTCTATCAATTAGATTAATTAAATAGAAAATGGAAATATTTGCGTTAAAAAAGATTGTTTTCGATTTTTTAAATAATCAGGTACTTTATAAAATGAATAAAGTTGTTGCGACTTCTAATAGTGATTTCTTATAACGAAAATTTGATGTAACTTTTTTGCTGCGCGCAGTTGCATACGCACGAAATCGTGGAAGTCTGTGCCAAGATTTTATATCAAGTGGAATTGCAAAGAAACACTTTAGAACAAATGTGGGGCTTCTCCGTCGAGGCGGAGCTCATAGAAAACTCCGATAGGCAGGATGAGCTTTGCTGCTACGTTAGTAGAGTGGAAGACAAGAGTGTCGCCATGCAAAACGGTAAGCACCCTCTTATCTAGGACAACGTCTAACTAAAATAAACGTCCCTCGAGCGCAACGATTAGAAGTTTCGATCGTTACAAGGTCTTTTTATTAGCAATCATTTTTTCTTATTGTCAGCCTTTATTATATCTAAGCACTGTTGATCCTGTATTAATTGATTAACTTTACGTGATAATGAAAATTTTGAAATAATAAAATTAATAATTATAAAAAAAATTAAATTAAATTAATTACAAAGAGTTTATATAGCTTTTACTAAAATTAGTATTTATTTTTTTTTACTAGAATTAAGAGAGAATAAAAAAAATAGCAAGTTGTGAAAATTAATCTGGATAGGTTTGTATTACATTAATATATCAAACGATTCCAAAGGAATGAAGATGATGTCGTGTTGTAAAAGATTACCTCGCTTATTCACTCTCGATTTAACTTCTTGCGGATCTTAGAAGATGACTTATGTCAAGGTCCGATCGTATTAATTTTTTTAGACCGCGTCGGCGCCAGGATGTGCAAGGACGCCATTGAAAAATCATCGATTTTCCGCGCATCGTCGCTTGCTCGTTGAACAGAGTCTCGTGCTTACGGTTAAATGAAGCGCGCATAATGCGTGTAAAAAAAGAAATATGTATAGAATAAAAATATGTATATATTGCATGTATATGCACACGCCGGGGGTGGGACGATCTTAGGGCCGCAGGCGCGAACAAATCAGAATGACATTTAGCGCCGCCTTTCCGTAAATCCTGTCTAAATTTATCGGGCAGCTTGCTCGTTAAACACGACCGAAGGGAGCGACTTATTATAGTCGCGAAAGATACCGAGCTGAGCGGTTGGATCATCTTCGCAGGCACATCGTGAGGCAGCCGCGAAAAATGTCAGTCGGAATTAAAAGATACTTACACTACTTAAAAGATACAAAACAGTAGTCGCTATAATTAATGTTTTTATTGCATTGCAAATCCTAAGTTTATGAGTGTTGGTGATAAAAATACTTGGACGATTGTCTATAAAGTAAAGATTGTTCATGTCGACGATGAAGACTGATTATACAATTCCGCTAATTTTCGAACGTTGTCAGCCAATGATAAATATTTTATTATCGTTGAAAATTTTAACCTGCGAAATATTCTTTTCCGACACAAATCCTCTTTTGAGAGAGGATAAATTTTCACATGGCGACTCTGGTTTCAGGAATCATTAAGGGCGACGAGATTATGGTAATCAACGGCGCCATCGTGAGTGACCTGGATATGATGTACTTGGAGAGTGTTCTACAGGAGGAGGTGGGTCTCTGTATGATGATGCGATCCTCCAGGACGGAGCCACCGGATCTCACAGGCATTATGCGAGTTACCGATGACATAATTGAGAGCCTGGTCTGTCCGCCGCCGCCTACCGACCCACCAGTAATCAGTGAAGAAATGATTTCCGGTCTGATTGTGCCGGCACCCGGATGGAGTGAGTCCTTTCGTCCTATTTTCCAAGAAATTGTTGCATTAAGGACTATTTTTATTACTGCTATTACTGAAGATTATACTACTTCTAAAGATGAACCCATTAAATTAATGGGACATGTAAATCATAAAAGTAAATTACGCTGAAAAAAACACGTTGCTCTTGAAACAGAATACATCAAGGCACGCGATTAATTTTTTTATTGCTAAGTGCGGCGCAATTTATATTTTGCTGAAATATAGCGACAGCGAAGTAACGAAAATTGTTTTAGAATATTGGAAAGTTGATTTTCTGACGCAGTAAAAATTAAATCCGTGTAACGTAATAATTAATTAAAAAATGTTTTCGCCTGTTTATTATTTTTTTATAAGAAGTTTTATTTCAAATTATATATTGTTTCTTCCAATAACAAATTATCATAAATAGTAATTATGCGTTACTTTTAATACAACGAAGATCACCATCAATAAATTATATAGAAAAAATTATATTATTAATTAATATAATTATTATACCACGAACTTTTGTGCGTTATAGCACATCTTAATGTAACGCGAATTTCATTTTATGATGCAGGCAAGGAGAACATTATGCAAGAATGCTCGTCAGCCAGCCACGCGGATAACAAACAAAGCTCGCGCACAAATTCCTTTGAGATTGAGAACCTTTTGAAAACTGCCGAGCAAGTGACAGTAATCTGTCGTTCTCCAGGTGAGACCAGAAAGTCAAGTCCTACCGGAAGTGTAGTCAGTTCCCACTCACAGGCTCTCACGCCAAGCCGGCAGCTAAGCGACGCTGAGAAGCTGAAGAAAGTGATTTTAGAACTGATTGAGACTGAACGGACTTACGTAAAGGTAATAAAAATTGAATATTATAATTATCATAGATTGATGATTTGTATATATATCGATATTAACAGATTAATGGGGGCTGACTAATGAATTTCTTCTCGTTTGTGTTTGGTAGAATTTAAATAATTTGCTGGAGAACTATTTGGAACCCCTTAAACGCGAGACCTTCTTGTCGAACGCGGAGATCAACGCGCTGTTTGGTAATATTCAGGAAATCGTCACATTTCAACGACAGTTCCTGCAAAATCTCGATCACGCCATCGAGATGGAGGCCGATTTCAACAGTTTTGACCATCCGAGTCAATTTAAGGTGCGCACTTTCAATTCAAATCTAATTACATAATTCATAGTTTATTTATTTATTCAATAGTTGACTGTAAACTGATAAAAGCAAAATTATGTTTTATAAATCAAGAAAATTAAGATTAACATATTTTAAACTTTTCATTATTTTTAAAGCGATTTAAGATTTAAATATTTAATTACGTAAAATAATATATAATTATTAATAAATATTATAATTATTAGACAATTTTAGAAGTTTTTCCTCGTATTTCTTAAAATATGAAAAATGATATACATTGTTATTTTAATAGCACAAATATATTAGTATCAAAATTTAATATTGCACTAAATTATGTTTGATTAATGAGCTTCGAGGCTGAAACTCATATCACTTTTCATGGCTGTTATAGGGAGTCCTGTTTTCCATTGGAAGTGCCTTCTTATATTACGTAAATCACTTCAAGCTATACAGCTCGTTTTGCGCCAGTCATTCGAAGGCTCAGAAAGTTTTACATCCAAGTAAGTTTCTTCTTGAAATACCTTGATCTCTTTTTCGCGAGTGCCGACCTTCACTTCCTCGTCCATATTAACACGCCTGATCCTTCGTAATCGATAATTCACTCGCCGGGAATAACTTCAACCTCAATCGCTACTCTCTATAAAAGTTACTCTCTATAAAAGTATTATATCCGGAAAGTTATCCGATTTATTATTCGTGTCAACCTTCCGCAAGTGGATGACATTTTTGTGCCGCTAGAGGCTGCGCCATTAACCATTCAAAGAAAACGCTCGGTCATTTTCTACGTCAGGCACCTATTATTCTGCAAAATGTTATCTTATATTTTCTGAAAATTTAATACGCTAATTAAAGCGTTGCATTTGTCTATTCAATTTTTAATGTAACAATTTTATGCAGAAATGTCCTAGAATCTAAATTTTAATGACAGGCCGGACGAATCTTTTTTCCTTTCGTGCAAATCGCATTTCTTACCATTACGGCGGAACGAAGCAATCTCCCGATAATTATCTAAGATAATTGACAATTTCAGACGAGGGAAATCAAGCTTTACAAGAGTTCCTGCAAGCAAGAAATCCCCGGCAGCAACACTCGTCGACCTTAGAATCGTACTTGATAAAACCTATACAAAGAATACTCAAGTATCCGCTGCTGTTACAGCAGCTTAGAAATCTCACCGATGAACGAAGCGAAGAACACCAACACTTAATCGGTAATTATCAGGACGCTGTGCGGCCGTAACATACAATTTAAGACGCTATCAAGGATTAATCACGAACGTGTAAATTACAGAGGCGCTCAAAGGCATGGAAAAGGTGGCGGAACACATAAACGAAATGCAGAGAATTCACGAAGAGTACGGCGCTATTTTCGATCATCTGTTCAGGCAACATCAAAAGTCCTGCAAACAGGTGAGTCGATCTCTAGAGAAGGAAAGTATAACAAACATATAATAATTTATTCGAAAATTAGTTAGGTAGATGTAATTTTCAGCTACTTTTTGTATTTTGACAAGTGATAACATTGTATACCTGAAGTTCGAAAATATTATTTTATAATTTAAAAAAAAAATAGAAACCTTTTAACTTTTCTTAATTGTTATTGTTAGATTTTACGTTGAACTTAGAATCTTCTTGTTCTGATTATATAATTTGAATATAATTTTATATAATTTTTCAATTACATTATACAGAAAATAGCTTAGAATATCGTCGATTAACACATTAATTTCTTGACAGCCGATCGACTTAAGTCCAGGCGATCTTTTGTACTACGGTGGTGTCGAGTGGCTCAATATTTCCGACTTTCTCGGCAAGATAAAGAAAGGTCTCGAGTTACATGCGATGTGCTTCGTGTTTAAATCGGCTGTCGTGTTCCTATGCAAGGAGAGATTGCGACAGAAAAAGAAGCTCATGGTCAGTGTCCATATGACCCATTTTTCTATATCGATGAATAGATTCTCGTAATGCTTTTAATACTCAAGAAGTCGTTATGTCTATTTTTATAGGGAGTTTCAACGAAGGCTAACTCAAGTGAAGTAGAGATCATCCGTTATCAGGTGCTAATCCCGGTGACGGAAGTCCAGGTCAGGGCCAGTTCCGCCAAGGATATGGAGTCCCACTTCTTGTGGGAATTGATTCATCTAAGAAGTCAATTACAAAGGAGATCGGAGAAAGTATACGTGCTATCCAACAGGTATTTTCCTAAAATTCTTTTTATATCGATTGATTAATTATTGAATTGACGAATAAATAGATATAAATAGAAACAAATCTAAATAAAAACAAGCGAAAATAAATTCTTTAAAAAAATAAACCATCTCGATTTATTAAATTTAATAATAAAATATACGTAATTTGATTTGTATCCGTGGCAATTGATTCATGGCCATGATTGCACTTGACTGCAATCAATTACGCAACTAATATAGTTTTACTACCGTTATAAATTGAACAGGCAAATTAATAAAATATATTGTCAAATTAGAAATAAATTGCTGTTAAATTAAATAATTTTCGTTTATCCAATTGCCATATTTTAATCAAATTGTTTTCATTTTGCAAACCAATACATTCCGCTACACTTTTTACATTCTTTTTTAAGCAAAATCTATATATACATACAGTGCTTTCTATCTTCTAAAAATATTTGCTGACAACGTACATAGATTCATAATAATATGTTTTTGGATCTAGCTATTTCTTAATTGATACGAGCTAACGCAGTTAATGATGCGTGAATTATTGAGTATATTCGCCAGTAATTACATACAAAATATACATACAATATCGCATACGTTTCCGAATTAGGTATTCTTCAGTGCTTATTATAGTGAGGGATGGCAATCAAGTTAGATTGAATCTTCTATCCACATTACAGTCCATATCAATTAAGTGTTTAAAATTATTAAAGTTATCACGTAAAATAATTGAAGTCGATAATGTTGAAATGGTTTGACAAATAAAGAAATAAAAGTAGATAGAAGATGAGATCCTAAAAGAAATGATAACCAGCCATACTAACAAAATGTTATTGGATTTATTTTTTATCATTGTACAAATAATTAAACAATCTCCTTACCTAACGTTGCCTCAAATTTCCATTTATAGTACAACAGAATTCCGTAATGCGTTCCTGAAGACGATCCGACAGATCATCCGTGAGTCGGTGAGAAATATGAGCATACCTTCGACGAAGCAGAACCTGAGTCAGGCGCCGATGTCGATGGCGCCGCGAATGTCAACCGGCCACGTGGAAAAATTTAACAAACAACAGGTCGGTCAGAGCCAGACGCAGAACGGAAATGGCGTGACGGGTACGCTTTCGAAAAAGGCGATGAAGCAGCAGCTGCTGTCCAGTTCACAGAAGCGCAAATACAGCCACTCGAAGCAGCCAGTGGAGCACGAAAGCTCGGAGGATAAGGATCAAGAGGACACGCCGGCTCCCCAGCAGCAAACATTTCGCTCCAGGAGCAAGACCATAAGCGACACTTCCGGTAAGACAAACTCTCGTAAGACTCAAAACAAGTCTTAATTTTAAGCAAAATCTTCCTTTGTACATATAGATAGATTCTGATATGTAAATTTATAATCTTTAATTATTTATATCCATCAATTTTAAAAAAGTTTTTCATTTATATTTTAAATTCATTTAAAAAATATTAAAATTTTTGAGATAATAATAAAAGCACGAAGCGATATAATGATTCAATTATAATGGACGTTATTATTGGCAAATTATTCAACGCTTTTATTATTTTGGGTTTTAGGCGAAGCGAAGGTCGAGATGGATTCGGGTACAAAGTCGGAAGGTGAGGAAGACTCGCAGGCTTTTTTAGGCGAGAAGAAGACGACTCTCGGCCGCACACCTAATCATCTGACGCTGAGCACCACGTCGACTATCTCGGCGGGAAGTACTGGCAGCCAGGCTAGATTGATTCAGTCTTCCCATCAGCCTGAGAATTACCAACCCATTACCGTCAAGGAACTTGGTGAGTGTATCATTCTTCAGAATTTTTGCGTCTGCCAGAATTTACATCAAAGCTTATTATTAATTAAAATTTATATATTTTAATTAAATCTTTTTAAATTTGATTAATAACTAATCAATGGAAATCTTTCAATCTCTCATTAACAATAAATAGCAATTAAATAAATTACCCCAATTATATTAGCTTATCGATTTCCGTTTTAATTAATGTGAATAAATAGAAATTTTTAATTTAATGAAATCCAGTAGAATTTTCGATACGTATTATTATATTTTCACTTGGCAGTTATTTTACGCTAATTATTTTTAATATTACATAGAGAGAAAAAGATTTTGTGTCGAAAAATTTAAAATCTTGAAAAAGAAAGGTCTAAAATTTTGCCGAACGGATCTGAAAATAATTTTGTTAGACCATTAAAATAATATTATTGGAAATTGGTTAATAGAATATCAAATTTTTTCATGGATTGATCATCATTTCTTAGAGAGAAAGTTTCCAATATAATTATTTAATGGTCCAACAAAATTATTTTGAGATCCGTAGCTAACAAAATTTTAGATCTTTTTTTCCATATAATACTAGGACATTTGTAATAAGTCAAATACCCAGACAGCACCCAATATTTATAAAATATTTACAAAATATTTATAAATATTTATAAAATTTATTTTAAATATTTTGTAAATATTTTGTGGTCTTAGATTGCACAGACCATAAATATTTATTATAAATATTAAATGAAATATTCATTATAAATGTATAGTAAATACTATGAAAATACTTAATGAGACATTATAATCCAAGTAAAAAATACTTATTAGAAATATTTATGTAGGTATATTTATCATAAATATTATATAAAATATTAAGTTTATATTTTAACAATATTTCGAAATAAAGCTTTTAAAATATGTATGAAATATCTATATAACATTTCAAAAAATAAATATTAATAAATATTTATCATAAATATTAATAAATATTTATCATAAATATTCTGTGTTGTTTAGGTATATATTTATTTATTTTACCAGATGTAATAAGATTTATTATTTTAAAAACGAAATTACAAAATCTCTCTCTCAATAGGCAACTAAGAACTAATACACAGTTGTTATTAATGTACGTTACAATTCTCCTTTATTCTCCTGTACATATATTTCAATGGGAAAATTGAAACGTACATTAATAACACCTGTGTATTAGCTCTTAGTTGCCTATTGATTTTGTAATTTCGTTTTTGATATTGAGAGCTCGATTAATTCATATTATTTATTATTTTGGTCTCTTAAAAAAAAAAACACGTAAAGCATTAATCCTTACTGTATCACGATAGGCTCGCCGATCTGGAAACCACGGGAACTACCCTCCCTGGGGGAGGCCACCACGTTGCCGCGCAAGGGTAAGTCGGCCGGCGAGTTTGCGGACATGAGCTCGAGCCACAGCGCCTCCCGAAAGTCTCTAATAGAAATCAACAATTCTGCTCAACAACCTAACTTTAATAATCACGTTTAAGTTGAATAATATCGAGGCTGACTCGCTAACGATAATACCGTTAAGTTCCGCCACCGCCATTAAACGCGATCGGCACCATCACCATCACCACCACCACTACTACCACCACTACCATTATCACCACCAACGACATCACCTATCATCACCAAGTGTAATACACAGAGATAATTATTCGATTATTGCGATTACTACGATAACGATACGTGAGGGACACGCATCCGCCGCCCACGTGGAAATTCGCGAAGACTGCGCTTTCTCCCTCCGCTCTCTTCCTCATTTCGTCTTCCAACAGGAAATCCGTGTTCGCGTGCATGTGTGCGACGCAGTCGATTGCACCGTTTCTACGGGAGCAAGCGAGATGCTCGATCGGGCTTCCACCTTGCTCTGGAGAATCTGATAGAAACCGAGTATCTTTTCCTCCCTCGTCGCGTCTTTTGGCGGTCGACGTATTTAAATAACTAAACAATAAATAAAAAAAAAATAACGACATAATATTAAAGTTAAGATAAAGAATGTGTCATTAAATTAAGATAAGGACGCCCAATTTATGGTAAATAGTTTTGATTTTGACAATCGTAACGCGGATAATCCCGAAGTCGTAGAAGGTCGAGGCGATGCCGAGCAGACCGCTGGCTCTGAAAACGAATAATCCAACGGCGAATAATAAATTATTAACGAATAGCCGCTCTAGTTCTTCGTAATGAAACGTCGATCGTGAAAGACTGGAATAATAGAATGAATAATGAAATGTCCCCGAGCTCCAAGATGCTTACTTCACTTAATGAATAGTTTAAGTTCATTTTTTTTCAGTCGTACGTTCTATACACATCGTTTCTTATTAGCTTCGTTTCTCTGTTTTTATTACAGCTAACATTATAATTGCGATTGTAACACTCAGCTTTAATCTTAGTAGGAAATTCCTAAAAGCGTGCGTTTGAAGTTAAACAAAAAAATTTTGGTATCCATTTTTATACGTAAAAATTTGTTCATAAACATGAAGAAGACGATTTCTTTCATATTGCTCGAGTATTTACGTATAAAATAAAGTGCTTGCCATCCATAGCAATCTGTACATATAAGTACACGCAGAAAAGGGAGAAGTTCTAAGGCGAGATTAAATAATCGAGGTTGTTAGCGCAACGTGCCTGAGAGACTTAAGAACGATGGGTCGAAACGTCGCCTCTCGGATGTCTCCATTTTATAGCATCCATCGGCATCATTTTAACATCGCCGGTTTTACGAGACGTAATTCGGTCGCCTCTTCGAGAGTCGCCAGCGATCGAGGCTTCATTCTTCGGTCCTGTCGCTCTTATTTCCGCGTGGACGGCGGCGCAGACGATCCGGAAAGATAATCGACTCTGTATATAATGTAATGATATTTATCGTCATACCGCGTCACTATAATTACACGTAACCACGTTCGCGATCGAACGCTCGCGCGTAGGCGCGCTCGTTACGTTGTTTCCCATCGTTCCACCACCGTTCTCCCACATCCTCCCATTTTTTTATTGTTATACAAAACCGTCGTGATGCGCGTCACGCCATTGACGATCGCCGGATGACGCGAGGACTGCGAGGGCAGTACGAGAGAGAGAGAGACTTATAAGACCCGCATTTGAAAAAAAAAAAAAAAGAAGAAAAGAGGAAGAAGAAACGAAGAGATGCTCGAAAAAGCGATTCGCGCGCGTAGCGAGTAAGTCTTAGCAGTTAAAGAGAAATCAATTAAGATATGTCGTATATATATATGTATATATACAATATATATACATATATACATACATACACAAAAAATATATGTATACATACTATACATACGGAGTATTATGTGAGAGAGAAAGAGAGAAAGGATGGATTTATGAATTGCATTGTAACGTCGTCCACGGTCCCCTCCCCCCCAAAAAGGAAATAAAAAAAATCATTCCGCCGCGTGTTAAACTGTTTTCAGGGTCGAGCATCCTCGCCAATATAGCAGACTTTATTTTTAACGTTACTTAAGATACAAAAGAGAGCGACTGAGCGAGCGAGAGAGAGTCTATATGTGTGTATGAGAAAGAGAGAGAGAGAGAGAGAGAGAGAGAGAGAGGGAGAAAGAAAGAGAGAGTGACAGAGAGAAAGAGAGTGAGTGAGTACGATGGTCAGAGTGCTCGAGACCGAAGCTGCGAGGTGAGATGCGCTGACATAACGAGATGCACTAAAGGCCCGTGATTAGCGTGCAGGGAGTATGAACGAGAGAGAAAGAAAGGGAGAGAGAGAAAGAGAGGGAGAGAAAGAAAAGAGGCGCACACTCGTACTTTAAAACGTACATATTGAATTTTAGGGACGGCGAACGATATCGGCACCGAAACCCTTCACGATAATCCGACACATATACCGCGTTGTTAATGGGTATTACGATAAATTAAGAATGGTATCGAGGGATTAATACGTGTAAATTAGACGACAGAAAGTATCCACATAGACGTATACTTACAACCAAAAAAATATGTATAAATAAAAAATATATATACACACCCGTACACATATTCACACATCATACATATACGTTTTCATACGTGACGTGCAAGCACTTATGCACGATTGGTGGTGGGAGTTGAGGGTGTTCCCTCAGAAGAAGAGAAGAATATTTTCTCAAAACTCTCTTTACGAAGATTATTCTAAAAATGTTTTTTTTTTTTTTTTTGCGGATATCTCAAGATATTCCGGGAATATCCCCAAGAATTTCTTGAGACTCTTAAGAGCATTCAGAGAATATTCGGAGAATATTCGAAGAATATCCGGAGAACGAAAGCGGTCGAGGGATATTCGCCAAGAAGAGGAAGACATTCTGGATATCCTGTCACCTCGCATCGCCATGTGCAAAACCCGTATGCATACTCGAGGAACGTGGATGTTGCACGCAATGTGATCGATCAGTCTTATCGAACACGAAAGGAAGACGTTCGCGAATTTGCGACGACCGCGTTTCCTGAATTGGACAATAAAGGAACGGATCTGACGACGTTTGAGGCAGCGTCACGTCGACGCGCCGGTTCTCGCTCGAGGAAGTCTGCGACTTTGGTATTGTTCTTTTACCTACTGATTCGTACGGTTCCAGCTATTAGCGGAGTTAGCGTTGATCACTGAAACCGGCTAGTGGATCCGGAATCATACATTGCGAGCTTAGACCTTCCGCGACGGCAGCTCGACGTTGGCACGACGAGGACGATGCCTCAGGTCGCCTGGATCTTGCTGAAATTGGGTATTGACGCCTCTATGCCAGTACCGATTGCGCCTTTATGATATCGCTTGCGATAATCCTCGCGAGACTTTCTGCAGCGATACATTAGCGGGGATCGATCGGAATACCGTAGGGGTGTACGGAATTATCATTTAGAGATCGTTAACGTCTTCCTTCAGCGCTCCGAATCAATGATCGTGGACGAATGAAGAATTTAATTGCCGATTAACGAAATTTGATATAGTCATAGTATACTGATATACGCACATATTCAGCACGTTGTTATCCGTGACGATTTACAGTTCGAATGAACGCGCGTCTCGTCGTGACTTTCGTGCTTGAAGCGAAGCGTATAATATTTTGATATTATAATATTGTAATATTACGATATTGTAATAATATAATATTATACAATGTTATATTATATATATTATAAGTTTATACAGGTATATACGAGAGAGATCGTGCCGCCGATGCTGCGCGCAACATCTAGAAAGAAAGCAGAAAGAGACTTCGTTCAAGAAATTTGAAAATCGATGAAGATTTATTAAGAATTTAATAACGTGACGAATTTTCCGCATTAATGCTTTTCGGAAAAGGCGATTGCGTCAATACGAAAGAAAAAAAAAAAGTCGTGTTAATACGTATTCGCGAAATCGCGTCAATTATTAGTATATTTCCGAGGAGTGTAATTATACGAGTATCTACTAATTATACCGGATGGAATACTATTGTACAGTGTGCATAGGAAGGCGAAGACGGGGGACGGGTGACGCGTTTGATCCTTTCCTTTTCCTTCGTGGCGGGCCGCGCGAGCCGCGGGAATTTTATCCGTGACATTTAATGAATGTTTTATCGAACGCTGTAATATTGCTTCCATCTCGAGCGCGTTACCACGCATCTGGTGTGCGTGCTTTAACACAGATTTCTTACGATTTTACGAATCCACCGCGGATACCTGAGACACGTTGCTTTTGCGAAGTCGCATTAAGTGGTAAAATTCGTCAACTTGACTGCCAGTCGATTATCAATATCGCGATTTACATAAATTTTGTTGCTTTCGTTTGTTTTATTGTGTAAATTCGAGTAATGTTAATTTTTTATAGGAATTATTAATTTATATTTTTAAGGATTGCAATATTTTGTACTTTGCTTGTACACCTCGCAAATTATTTATTAAATTGTCAGTAACCCGAGAAAAAATGTTTCATAATTATTGTATAATTATATAAAATTATATATAATTATATAAAAATTGACATACTTTATATACAATTATATATAATTATATATAAAATATATCCATATATATATAACATTTTTTCCTAGGAAATAATAAAAGATCGAAGCTATTATTTTCAAGAAAAAGGGCGGGCAGTCAAGAATGTATAATAGAGATCTATTTCGTCTTGTAAATTCTTTTATTCTGAAAAATCGATCATGCGTTGCCAGATTTATCTTGGAACGTGACAAGGACGACAAGAGCTCTTTCTTCTTTCTTCCGCTTAAAATCGAGTATGTCATTACGTATGGATCCTGCTATCCTACGCAAAAAGAATCTCTAGAAAGGTAAAAGTGTCAGAGAGAATCGAATTGTAAAATCGTGACATTTAAGAAATTTTTTTCGGGGAGACACGTTCTTCGAAAAAAGTGTCGGAATCTTCCTTTCTTTGTTTATCGAAGAGCGTGTCGGAAAAGTGTGACGAACGTGGTGCCAAAATTGCCATATAGCAATAATTAGTAGGATTAATATCAGACTGACTCATAATAGTGTTCAAGCACGGGAGTTCGTCGGAAGGTGAAGTCTTAATGAATTATCGTCGGACTTATCATGACTAATAATTGCGTAACTTGGGCGATTAATAACTGCTGGTATTAGTAATCACTGACTAATTATGTCCAACACCAAAGGCGCATACAGAAAATTTCGAGTTACTCTGGAAGAATCAAGACGTTGCTTAACACATCAGCATGAATGAACGGGAATTTATGTAGAAACTTGATGCATCAAAAGCAAGATAACATTATTATCTCGAATGACTTGAACAATTTAACGCTGCGATTCTACACTTTGATTTTCCTGAACAATCACTTATGATAAGCAACGAGTTCGTTAATCGTATCATAAATTTTACGAAATATAAAGTTATTGTTAATTTTCGCTCAAGCAAACGAGACGGCAGAAACTATCGTTTGAAATAATTATGTGTATTAAAATCATTTTATTGCTTCATATAATTTAAGCAATTTTTCCTAGGAAAAATTGAGACAGAGATATTTCTAGTGGCTTTAAAATTCGATTTTGTTCTAATTACTTAATTAATTCACACCGAAAGATTTAAACTAAAATCTGTTTGATCGAAAGTAGGATTTCTCTTAATTAGATTTCCGATCAGTCCAATTTCGAATTGTAACTAATTACTTGAAACTCGTTGCTGATTAACGTTAACAAAGAGGATGGCAGGAACGGATACCCGTCACGTAGACACGTACACGTGGACACAAATTACGTGCGATCGCGTGAGACACATACACGAAACAGTTCACACGAAATATATCTAATAAGGCATCGGTTAAGATCTGACAGCGAAAAAAAAAAAATAATAAGATACCTACTTACTAATTACTATAGGCGAGAACACACGTGCAGATTTAAGGAAAAAAAATTTACGGAAGACCTTCTGTTGCTCGAATTATTGCATTGTCTACTATATATAAATTTTATTGTATAAATTCTGTCAAGAGAGAGGCGCGCCTCCGAGCGAGAGTCGATGTTTCTTTTTCTCCTCGACCCCCGTGTCCTTCCCGTCGAAGGATCTATGAGGACATTCGAGAAAGAGATGCTGAAGAAAGTGCGTAAACGCGCCCGAGGAGTCGCTCCTGCGCAGATAATAGCGATTATAATTAAGTTACTATCGCGATATCGAATGGTACTGCTTTTAGACGACATACAAAGTTCGCGATCGTAAGAAGATTTTCTGTCTAAAGTCTCGCGGAGGACAATCTTGGATGTACATCTTAGATGGTCTGCGATAAACGCCAAGTCGATTTATCTTTTTTTCACGACATGAACGTTATATCTCTGATAAATATAAAGTCTACTCCACAGCTGTGTAAACAATGTAGTAAGCACGATTGTTTCTTGTGCATTTGGAGTGCGGATGCTTTCTTCGTGTCTATAATATACGTATAAATGACGAAGAGCCTCTCGTCGCCGCCACCTTATCGCAGCCAGGTGTCCTCTACCCAGAGTTAATCGAGTTTAAGATAGTGCGCCTTATATCTAGCTTTA